CCAAAAACCTCCCGGGTCCCCCCCGACCCCCCCCGCGGCGGCCGGAAGAGAATGGAACAACGTGAACGTTGCAACGGTCCCGCGCATGCGCCGTAGCGGACCCCACAGCAACCACAGCGCTTAAATGGGCAACAATGGCGCTTAAAAGGGAAACGGCGGCACTTAAAAGGGCAACGCCGGCCCTTAAAGGGTCAACGCCGGTCCTTAAAAGAGCAATATCGGCCCTTAAAAAGGCCTCTTCCCACAAGTCCATGTTGGGCCCGTATCTTTACGCTCCTGTCCACCAAAATAGTTAGTTTTGTAATTTTTTTTTTTTTTTTAAAAAAAAAAAACAGCAAGCAGGCAGGAAAAAATGTTTCCCAGCAAGAGTGGTCAGAGAGTGGAACAGGTTGCCCAGGGAGGGGGGAGTCCCCATCCCTGGGGGGGTTTAAGGGCCGTTGGGATGAGCTGTGGGGGGATGTTGGGTAGGGGAGAACTTTGTAGAGTCGGACTGAGGGTTGGACTCGATGATCCTGAGGGGCTTTTCCAACCTGAATGTGATTCTGTGAAAACGAGTGATGCTGGGGACTTCTTTTGGGGTTTGGAAGGGGGGTGTTTGGGGTTTTTGTGATGCTCAGGTGGGGTACATGCACAGCGTGGGGTGCGCAGAGCACCCTGCCATCATGTCGGGGGGGCAAGAGGTCAGGGCTGGGAGTTTGGGTGGAGGTGGGAGCGCTGCTGGGTCATGTCAAGGCAGTGAGATGTGCTGGCACCACCCTGACGTGTTGATTCAGCAGGGTTTACCCTCAGCCACCGCAAAATCCCCTCTCCGGCGCGCCCCACCTGGGTTTACATGTGCGCTGAACCCTCAGTACCCGCTCAGGCGTGTTGCTGAACCAGGGCTCTGCGGACGGGCGTGGATCCCTACAGGATGCTCAGGAGAAAATAGAAGCTGCTTCCTCTTCCCAGAACCAGCACGGGGCTCAGAACCCTCGCCACTGGACCTGACATCGCATCCCTGGGCCACCTTCCCCTTGGCTGTGCATCCCCAGCAGTGGTCCAGGTCATGCCAGCTCCCCCATCCCAGTCACAGACACAATTGGGGTGCCAGCACCCCTTTGCAGCTGCTGCCTGTGCTTCTCACTTGGCTTTAAAATCTGCCCTTCCCTGTTAGGGAAACTGAGGCACAGAAGTGTGCTAAAGCCCCACTGCGGCACCAGTTAGGGCTGGGCCTAACCAGTTAGGTGCTCTGCCCTGCCTTACACCCAGGGCAGGGCCAGATCCGGCTGCGGGGGATTGCAGGGAAAGAACCTGGAGCCCCCGAGGTCAAACCCTGCTCCCTCTGCCCTGCGGTGCTTGTTCCTTTTGAGAGGATTTTTATTTGTGAGCTCAGTTGGTGGTTTTTTACATGCATATTTATATACCTGGGGGGCAGGGAAATGCTCCCCTGGAAAACCAGCCAGGCGGCTGCGGCTCCGGGGTGCAGCAGGTTCCTGCTGGGACACCCTTCCCTGGGGAAACGCCTTGAAAAAAAAAAAACAACCAAAAAACATGAGAGCCATGTGTGGGGCCTGGAAGACCCCTAAAACCGGGGGTTCCCTCCTCCTGTGCCCGGACTGGGGGGCTGGGGCAGGGCAAGGGGCAAGGCTGGAGGCACGGCGGGTGGGGACACGCAGGCAGGGCCGGGAGTCACAGTGTGTTTATTGTGGGGAGCGCTGGGGTGGGCGCGTGCACCTCGGCTGGCACGCTGGGTCCTGCCCGGCAGCGGGGCCGCAGGGGGCTGCGGGCACAGGGAGCTGCTGGATGTGCATGGAGGGGGACGGGAGTGGGCCAACCCCGCTTCTGCGGCTGGTGGCACCGCCTCGGCAGCGGCCTGACATCCTGGAGCATCCCGATGGCCTCGGGCATCTCATCTGCATCAGCCTGGGAGATCCTGCTGGCCTCGGCCATCCCATCTGCCTCAGGGCATCCTGTCTGCATCCTCCTTGGAGCATCCTGCTGGCCTTGAGCATCCCATCCACCTCGGTGCATCACACCTGCATCCATCTTGGAGCATCTCACTGGTCTCGAGCATCTCTTCTGCCTCAGAGTATCCTGCTGACCTCGAGCATCCCATCTGCCTCAGGGTATCCCATCCACATCCACCTTGGAGCATCCCGCTGGCCTTGAGCGTCCCATCCACATCATGTACATCATGTCTGAATCCACCTTGGAGCACCCTGCTGGTCTCGAACATCCCACCCTCCTCAGGGCATCCCATCCACATCCCCTTCGAGCATCCCATCCACCTCAGGGCATTCCCACCTGCCTGGAGCATCCCACCCACTTCAGAGGATCCCATCAGCCTGCGAGCTCCGCAGTGTCCCAGGAGCATCCCATCCAGCCCCGGCAGCCTGGCCCTGCCTGTGCACCTCCCTGCCTGCCACCCCACTCCCGTGTCCCCCCCATCCAGACCTCCCTGCCATGAGCCTCCGGGCCTGTTTTCCCCTCCCTGGGCTGCTGGACAGGGTGACCGTGGGTGCTGCACATGGGGATACCAGGGGGGAAACTGAGTCCCATGGCTTGGCCCTGGCAGCGGGGCCGTGGGGCTGGGTGCTGCCCTGCGCTTCGAGGGGTGGATGAAAGTGTGGGGCTGGGAGTGTGGGATTGTGACCACGGGGCAGAGCCGGCTGCAGGCAGGAGGAAGGGGGTGGCGGGGCGCATGCGTGTCCTTGGGCAGGAGCAGGCAGCTCTCGGGGCAGGCGAGAGCCGTGTCAGGGCAGCCCGGGCTCTGCCTCCCTGCTAGAGGCTGAGGTCCACCACCACGTGCCGGTAGACCAGCGTGTTGGCCTTGAAACTGGGAGCCAGGAGGAGCTGCACGTCGGCAGCTGGCACATAACGGAAAGCCCGCGGCGCCTGCACCGACAGCTCCTGAAACTTGACGAATTTCTGCTTCTCCTCTTCCCACAGGTAGACGTGGGTGAAGGAGAAGTCACTGCCCAGGGCCAGGTACTGCCGTTGCTCCACCGAGAAGGGCTGCATCACCATGGAGCCGCGGGACGGCAACGTCTGCAGCTCGACGAAGCGCTGCCCCTCCCATCGCACCACCTTGGAGTCGCCGATGTAGCGGCTGAGGCAGAGGAACTGGTCCCGCTTCACCTTGAAGTGCTTCACCATCTGCACGTCCAGCATCTCCCCCACCTCCCCCTGGGCCGTGAATTGTTTCTGCGCCCGGTTCCACTGATAGATGACGGGAGCTTGGGAGCTGCTGGAGATGATCAGCCGGGGTTTGCCATCGTTCTCCACGTATTCCACGTCGGTGTCACGGTGCCAGGCGTGGAGGGCTTGGTGGGAGTAGAAGCCATTCTGGTTGAGGCGGTAGAGGCTGGTGGAACCCGCCTTGGAGCTGTCGGCGATGACGAAGTACCAGTCGCCTTCGATCTGGAAGGCCTCGATGTCGTTGGGCTTGCGGGTCTTCTGGCTGTCGATGTCTTGGATCTTGATGAACTTGTCCACGGCCGTGTCCCAGCGGTAGATGTAGGAGCCACCGAAGAGCTGGGCCACCACCACGTACAACTGGTTCTGCGCCACGATGGGCTTGCAGTGCACTGCCGAGTGAGCTGCAGGGCAAGGACCACGTCACCCCGGGGCTGTGCTCTTCCCGAATCACCCAAAATGGGGGTCACAGCCCGCGAGGGGACCCCTGCCCTCACGCCTTACCGGGGATGCGGTCGAAGTCGCGCAGTTTGCGCTCCACGTAGTCCCACTTGAGGACGGCGCAACTGCTGGCACCGGGCTGTGCCAGGGCCACGTACAGGTCACTGGCGTAGGTGAAGGGCTCAGCCGACACCGACTGGAAGGGCAGGACCTGGTGCACCACGAAATCTGCGGGGAGAGGCAGTGGTGAGGGCCTGGGTGCCCAGGGAGGGGGGTGACGGGTGGCCGTGGTCCCTTACCCGTGGTGATGCACTGGAAGTCACCCAGCGCCAGGTCCCGGATCCGCTGCCCCTCGAACTGCCCGGGGCTGCTGCAGAAGATGGCGGGGACCGTGGTGTTGGTGCTTTCCAACCACTCCACCAGCCACTTGATCTTGCAGTCGCAGGTCAACGTGTTGCCCCGGAGGTCCCTGCCCGAGGATGGCACCCAGTCACCCCCAGCACCCAGCCTGGAGCGAGCAGAACCCCGAGCGCTGGGGTGTCACCCTCGCCCCAGTCCAGCGTCCCAGGGGGTCCCTGGTGCCGCAGCGGCCTTACAGGTCACTCAGGATGTCCAGCGGCTTGAAGAGGTCCCGGGGCAGCGTCTGGAGGTTGTTGTTGGCCAGGGACCTGGGGGATGAGAGGGGCTGTGGAGGTGACACAGCCCTGGCCGTGGTGAAGGGACAAGAGCCACCCCTCTGTGTTCCCGGGGAGCAGGAGACCCCCCCACTACTCACAGGTGAGTCAGGGACTTGAGCCCACGGAAAGTGGCCTTTGAGAGTGCCTGGATGTCGTTGTTCTCGATGAACCTGGGGTGGGAGGAGACCGTGGCATGACTGCCCCGAGGGGGCTGATCCCTGCCAATGCCCCCACCCTCCCGGTGCCCTCCCCAGGGCCATCCCTGTCCCCATGTCCCCCCATGTCCCCATCCCACGCACAGGTACTGGAGATGCGAGAGGCCGGCGAAGGCGTTGTCCCCGATCAACGTGAACTTGTTGGAGTTGAGCAGGCTGCAAGGAGAGGGGGGAAGGCGTCAGCACCAGGGTCGGGCAGGATGGGCACGGGGGACACCGGGATGCCCGGTCACCGGCATGGGAGACCTACAGGAACTGCAGCGAGGGGATGTGGGCGAAGGCGGCCTCTCGGATCTCTGTGAAGGCTGCGTTCACCATCGTCCTGACAGCGAGACAAAGCTTCA